GGCGTTTGCTCGGGGCTGTGGAATCACCAGGGAGTGAAGACAGCTCTGTGGTGAGGGCAGCCGCAGAGGAGAAAGGCACTTGCAGACAGAGGCATCTGGTGCTGCCCTCTTCCCCCCTCTCCCCGCCTGTCCTAGTCCCTAGTAGGTGTTCTGGCTGTGACTTGCATTAATGCCTTCAGATGTGAACTATCCCAAAGGAGTGGAAGACATTAGCTCCCTCCTGAGAGTTGTCTAGTTAGCTGCCAATTTCAAATTTACATGCACAGCTGGATCTGAGATGCCTGTCCGTCTTAAGTGCTCGCTCACTATCCCGACACATGGGTAAATGCATCCCGTATCCCCATCCACCAGTGTGGAGGCGCCAGTGGAGAGAGGCTCATGCTTCCCAGCCCCAGAGCCTGTAGGAAGCCGTATGTCCATGCTGCATGTGTGTGGTCACCCTTTGGGAAATACGGGCATAGGGCTGACAAGACCTGCCCAGGGCCCTGTGCAGGCTCCCTCTTTCCTCTTCTGGGGCGTCCACACACAGGCTTATACTGGTGGTCCAGCTGTGTGTGGGTCCCTGGGGGTGAAAATGGGATAAAGCACAGTGACAGAAGGTCCTCTCTGGTCTGCAAACAGATGCCATTGACAACCACAGGTCATTTAGTGACAAGCATGGTCTCACAGGCAAGAGGGAGCTTCAACCGGAAATGGAGGAAGGAAGACCAGGTAAGGCCTGAGTCCCCTCATGTGCATCCTCTCATCCCTGGGACTCTCAAGTGTATGATGGTCATCTGAGAGCCTGCAGCCTCACACCTCTCAACTGCCAGGACTGGGAGCAAAGCCATGGGTCGTGCAGCTAGGAGGCAGCTGGCCCAGGACCCTCTGCTTCTTTAGAGAGGCCCTGGATGGCTTAGGATGCCCTCGTATGCTCAGCTAGCCTCCCTGGCCTCGGATGGGTGATGGGAAGGTGGAGGAGGCTGCGAACACTGTTCTTTTCCACTGTCCAGGCAGCATTGACGGGCTCCTGCCTGAGAGCAATGTTGTGCGCACCATAATGGAGTTTCTGAGCTTCCTGCACCTTAAAGGTATGAAAGTTTTTTCATCTAAAATGGCATATTGGGTTGTGGGTGTCCCAGCACTGGCAGGGTTACAAGTGAAAGAGAATTCCATGGAAAACCACGGGAAGCACCCATCACCCTCCTCTGCCCTGTGAGAGGACTGAGGTACACCACACTCAAACATCCTGTGCTGGGGCTGAGTGTCAGGGTGATGTCACTACTGAAGAGAGAGTGAAGCTGTGGGCACAGGTCACTCTCCTGCCCCTATTTTTGTCACACCTCAAGCCAGGTTCTTGTGAGGCCACAAGAAGCCATATTCTGTTTGCACAGTGCCTGGCAGGTGGGCTCTGGGAGCTGTTTTCTCTCAATTTTCTGCCCCAAGAGCAGCGGAAGGGCAGGAGATTAAAACCAGTGTGTGTGGGGGTACTGGAGAGATGGCCCAGTGCTTGAGAGCATTTACTGCTCTTCCCAAGGGCTGGACTTCAGTTTGCAGCACCCGTGTCAGGTGGCTCACAGCCTCCTAGAACTCGGCTCCAGATCTTACACCCTCTTCTGGCTTCAAGGAGGAGCACACACACATACCACCAACACATAAAATGAAGTCTCTAAAAAAGTAAAACCAACCAACAGGGCAGGAGAGTATAGGAGAAGATGGTATCAGAGCCTCCAAGCTCAGGTCCCCAGGCCTCTAGAAAGTGCTAGGGCTTTCCGGAAATCTCCACATGACTGTTCCTGCAGAAGCACCTCAGCTCTGCCAGGGTCCTGTGTTGCCACTTTTGATCTTGTAACACGGGTTAAGTGTTCTTGGACATCATCTTCACACCTCCGTTGGCCTGCCCTCTTTGAAGAGTAGCTGTCCTTCAGAGGTTAGACACACAGATGCTGTCCCCAGGTCAGGGTCCCCACAGTGGGAACTCACCCCTCCATGGTGCTGCAGTGTGATCTCTCACCCTAAGTACCTGATCATTCTCCTTATTCAGAGGCCGGGGCCCTCGACAGCCTGCCTGGCCTCCCTGTGGCCACAGCCTCGGAAGCCCTAGAGCAGTCCTGAAAGCCTCCCCTCTGGGCACATGTGTCCTACGCTGTAATTTAAAGTCACTCTAGGCCGAGAAGAAACTTCTGCCAGCTCCTCATGCCAACCCTGTTCTATGCCTTGATGCTGTTATTATAATTAAGATGTCTTGCAGTAATTATATTGTGTGACACAATAAAAACTAGCAAGTATCTGGGCCTGTTTGGTTCTTCTCTGTTGCAGTCCATCACTACTACCTCCAGTGTGGTTATTATAGCGTGTGCACTCGTGTGTGTGTGTGTGTGTGTGTGTGTGTGTGTATGTATGTGTGTGTATGCTCGCCCACGCATGCACCAGGGGTACTACTGAACTCAGATTAACAGGCTTGGCAGTAGGTGCCTTTATCTGCTGAACCATCTCTCTGGCTCCCCACTAGTGTGTTTTAAAAGGTAACGGTAGATGTTCACACATGCATTAGGTAAGGGTTAAACCGGAATTCCTCACGGACTGCAAAGCACCCGTCAGCGCTTGCTGCTCTCAGGGACAGTTATCTGATGCTCAGCTCAGTCTGATGCAGCCATCTAGTGTGCTGCTGGCCCAAGCAAAGGCACAAATGGATACAGTGCCACCCAGGAGCAGTGGCTATGGAGACAGAAAGGGGAGAACTGGCTCCGAACAGGAAGCATATACCAGAGCATCAGAGAGGAAAACAGGTGACAGAAAAGCCAGTGCCCATGCTAGACTGAGCTGAGCCTTACCTTCTGGTCTCCCAGGCTGCAGGACAGGCTGCCGGCATTGGTTTCACCTGGCTGCCTGTGGTCCTTTGCAGATCAGGGGAGCTTAGAGTCCACAGAGGCTCCACATGAAGGGCGACTCCAACCTCATAGGCAGTGCAACCCTTACTTCCCTGTCCCTGCCAGGGATGCTAACTGATGGTGTCCCAGGCTTAGCCACTCCCTCTCATACACTCCTGTGATTCAGCCCCAGGTCTTGCTCCCAGGCCAGGTGCTGCAGTCAGAAAGACTGTCTGCCTGGACTAAACCCTTAGGCCCCCTTCCCTACTCTCTTCACTCTTCCTCTTAATTAAAAAACACATAAAAAAAAGAAAACTAAAAAGGGTGGGGCATGTGCACGTGTGCAGATGCCCATGGAGGCCAGAGGCCCTGGAGCTACATCTACAGGTGGTTGGGAGTCACCCGAGACAGATATTGGAATCAAACTCATCAACTCTGGAAGAGAAGCAAGTGTTCTTGGCTGAGCCATTTCTCCATTTCCCCCTCACTCTTCCTCTTCCACACTTCTTTTTAACTCTGACCTGAGCAGGCATCTGGACCCCGAGCCCTATAGAAGACAGACTACCAGGCCTTGCCCAGTGTTAAAGGAGGTCTGCAGGCCATATTGCTCTCCAGAAGAATCCCCAGAAGGACAACACCAGGGCTGTTCTAGTGAGGCCCCAGCCTGAAGTCCGGCCTATGTGGCAGCCTTCTAGCCTTGCTTCCTCCTGTCCAGGGCATGACATCCTGTGTCTCCATCTCCAATTCTCCAGGCCAGCAACTACGCTGGCCACGCCCTACCTCAGCCTTCCCACAGGACCCTCCCAATGGCTGGCAATGCCATGTCACATGGTCCAGGCATCTTTTGGGGCCACCTTGTTAAGGGAAGCCTTCTCCCTGTCTTCAGTGGTGGGGCATCCTAATATGAAGCTGTCACTCTAGTCCCAGGGAGCTCACCAGCTCATCAGGGCCTCCTGAGCCTTAGACTCCTGCAAGGCTACTGGTACCAGGGCTCCAGGAGCTCCTGCAGCCACACCCATGGCTGTCCAGCCTTTGGGTCAGCAGTTCAGCTGTCCAGCCAACTTAACTTCACGGTGTGTCTGTGCAAAGGCACACCATGTGTACAGGTGGGAATCCTAAGGAGCTGGCGAGCTTGTCTTTTGAGCCATGATGTCTTCCACCTGGAATTTAACAAGTATGCCATGATGGTTGGTCAGTGAGTCCCTGGGAGCCCCCTGTCTCTGCTTCCCCACTGGGATTACAAGTCTCTATCTGTTCTTTTGCTTGTGTTTGTCTGTTGTCTCTGTTGGTGTGTTTGGAGATTTTCTGGCTGGGTGTCTGTTTTAATACAGATTCTGGGGCGCTCAGGACCTCATGCCTGCACGCTGAGCCGTCTCCTGTGCTTCCTTTGCAGCCAGCTCGCAGCCAGTCCTGCCTGCCTGTGCTCAGGTTTCCTAACACTCAAAGTGAGGAAGTCGCAGAATGGCTAGACTCACAAAAGTGTCACACAGACTCAGGAAAAGACAAGGTCTCAGTGGAGTCCAGAGTGGCATTGAGACAAATATATTTCAGCTACTAACCTAGTTCCAACTGGGAATCTGGAAAGGTTTACTCTCACAACAGAACGCAAAGAATGGGCGTAATAACCCACCTCACCTGTTGGTGTCTGCAGGGCACTGTGACTGGTCTGCAGGTGACAGTAATTACAGAAATACAGACAAAACTAGCTCCAACCCGACCTCCCCCACCCCCCAGCCCGCCCTGCATCTCCTGTCCCAGGCCTGCCTGGAAGACCCCTGTTGGTCCCCTGGCCTGTGACTCAGGCAAAGTCCGGCTGCAGAGCCTAGCTCTCTAGAGACCTGAAGCCGTCTCAGAACAACTTGAATGGAGAAACTACTATGCAATTTGAAAAGTGAACGTATAACAACAAGCAGGGTAGGCAGTCCCCAGAGGGCCTCCCCAGAGACAGGAGGGCTAGTGTTCATCCCCAGGGCAGCTCTGCCTGCCTGGACTTCAGGGTGCCTTGAGCAGGCTGGCCAGTCCTGCTCAGCCCTCACAGCCGGCCTGGCCATGCTGCAGGGGCCTCCTGCTCCTCCCTCTGCACCACCTTCCTAGGTGCAGACTCCCCAAGGCTCAGGCTTGCCACAGCATTCCACTTTACCAGCTTGCAGTCTACTCAATTTTTAGCCCCTTGGACTTGAACTCGATGTGCAGAATCTGTGACAGGCACCTTCCAAACTCCTCCAGGACCATCTGCTCGGCCAAGCTTGGGGAGCAGCGCTCCTGCTCTGCCTCCTCTCCCTGGGCCAGCAGGCAGGCACATGTGGCCTCTACTACCTCCCAGGAGATACAGGAGAAGGCCTGCCTACGGAGAGACACAGCCACTCAGCGCTTTCTCCATTCAGCAGAACAGTGCCCAGTCACTCTAGTTCAAGAATCAATGGCCTCTAGAGGGGACACCCACATCAAGGCCCAGGAAGCATCTTAGATCTTGCATAGGACTGGGTCTTTCCATATCCCAGCATGGATGGGAGAGGAGCTCCTGAGGTCCCAGCCCTCTCCGTGGAGTGAATGGCAGCTAATAGCTGCTGGGGGAAAGGGATATTTCCTTCAGAGGTGTAGTCACTGGTAAACTGCCCATGCCCCAGTAAATAACCACCCCCATGCACGGGTAAGCAGCCTTAAACACAAGAAGTAAATCACACTCTTGTACACACACACACTCTCTCTCTTCTCTCCTCTCACACACACACAAACACCCCCCACCAAAAAAAAAAAATCAACAACAAAAACCAGAAATGAGAGGAGGAAGACTAGTTTGGAAGAGGGGGTCAGCAGGGATGGGGTGAAGGAAGAGAGAGCAAAAGGGAAACTATGATCACAACACATTTATACATGCATGCATTTATATGGATGAAATTGCTAAAATGATTTAAAAGAAGCCATGTACCTTTCTGCTGATAAAACGGGCTTATTTTGAGCAGTGCCATTGGCCCATGGCTGTGCCCCAGTGTGGGCTAGAGGGAGAGATGGCTTAACATACCATAGTAAGTAACTAAATAGAAGGTGTGAGGCTGGGCTTGGGAGAGCAGCACAGGGACCCCTTCATCTCCTGGCAGAGTCTAAATGCCTCATGGAGGGCCACTGACAGACCCAGAGGCTCATGTGCTTCAGTGGCAAACCCACAGGTCACACAGGGCTTGGTGAGATGGTGCAGCTGCCCTCAACTCCCTGCATAGGTCAGCAGAGGACAGCTGGCAGTGAGATAGCCAGTGTGGGGGTCTGCGTGTCATTTTTGCAGGGCACCAGGAGCTTCAAAGTGTCCTGTGGCTCAGACTCTCCTGTCACACCTGTGGGCATACAGTGAGGACACCTCACTCTGGGCACCCTGAAGAGGCCTGGGCTGGGCTGGGCTGGGCTGTTTAGGCCTGGGCATTTCCTCTCTGAGCTCTGGAGTAGAGAGGCTTACCCAGCCAGCTGTGAGCAGGGCTCATACTGACACCCTCAAAGAACCTCAGAGGAGGCTCACCTCAGGATGGAGAGAGCCCCATGGCAGACTCAGGTTTGGTGAGAGTGCTTCTCACCTCTCTAACCAATTAAGCCCAAGTTTGGCTTTGCAGAATGAAGTTGATTTGTTTGTGTCACCTGGATGACCAACTGCATGGCACTTAGAGGAATGTTCTTCCTTTGCCTGGTTAGGTTTTGGGGTGTTTGTGTGTGTGCACATGTGTGGCATATGATGCCTGTGTATGGATGTGTGTCATTGCATGCACGTGCGTGGAGGCCAGAGGTTGACAGTGGCTGTCTTCCTTGATCACCCTTACACCTTCTATTTTGAGATGAATGTCTATCACTGAGTGAAAAATCCTGTCTTTGCCCCCATGCACTGGGATTACAGGCACTCACCACACCCACCCAGACTTGCCCTCGGGCTTGCAAAGCCAGGCTCCCGAGTGGTCTCCCCAGATGGTCCACTCTATTTTTAAGGATGGAGTCTCTCATCAATTGGCTTGCCTGACTAGCCAGTGAGCCCCAAGCATACTGCTTTCATACATAGTACTGGATTACTGGCATAGGCCATCAAACCTGACTTTTTATATGGGAACTAGGATTTGAATTCAGGTCCTGTTGATTGCAGAGCAGCCACCTTTTCCAGAGTAGCCACCCATCCCAACATCTGGAAAGAATATTTTTAAATAGGGAAATCAACTGATCAAATAATACGTATGAGCAAATAATATGTGATCAAATAATGTCTCAGCCTCTGGCAGCTGCTAAGATTACTGTGGCCTCAAGACTATCCAACAGGGACACATCCAAGCACACAGTCCCTTCAGCTAACAGTCCAGTGTGTGTCAAGGACACTCCTGCTCACAGAAAAGGGCTGGGCTGTGTCTGGCTCGGGGTGGAGAATGCTTGCCTAGCAAGAGGGAGGTCCTGGATTCCAACCCTAGCCTGAAAAATGGGCAGAGAGGAGAGAAGAGAAGAAAAAGGGAAGGGAAGGAACTGAGGGGAGGAAGGAAAAGAGAAGAAGATGGGAGAGCTAGGACCCCGCATTTGTTGCCTGATCAAGCAAGACTCTAGCCCCATTTAGAAAACCACTAGCCCTGCTACCAATATAGGCGGAGCCTGTAAGTACAAACAGGGCTACCTCAGACAGGGCAAAGGGAAGAGGGCCATCTAGGAAGAGAAACAGGCTGCATGGTGAGGCCTGCAAAGAAGCCCTGTGTGTTTTGTGTGTATGGTGGGGGCTTCCATTGTCCTGTCCCTCCTGTCCCTCCTGCCCCTTGTATCCCTGTAGGCTCCAGCAGATGCAGAGGTGGTTTCTCAACCTCCCTCAGAATCACCCCAGACTGTTTAGAACACCTACCTATTTTTTTTCAGTTTTGGAGGTCCTGAGAACTTGGCTGGGGACAGATGGTGATTGCCCTCAAAGTCCCCAGCCTCCATGTAGTAGGGTGTACTCATCAGCATTTTTCTCTCTGGGCTTTCTTCATAGTTTTTGCAAGCAATGCATTTGCAAATTGAAGAACACATGATTTTTGCCTGATGATAAAAAAATGCTTTGATGAAATCAGGGTTCCCTGCAAGTCACCCAGCACTCACATCTGCCTTTGCCCATCTGCTTCATCAGATTAATACTAGAGGCTGTTCAGCAGGAAAGGAAGCAGGCATGGCAGCATTAGTAGTGGCCATAATCCAAGTGCTCTAGAAGTGGAGGATGGAGGATGATAAATTCAAGGTCACCAGCCTTGGCTAGGGATTGTGTTCCAGGACAGCCTGAGCTACACGAGACCCACCTATAAAAACAAAATAGTGTCTTAGTTTTGTTTCCTGATACAATAAATTATCCTGAACAAAGACAACTCGAGGAAGAAGGGGCTTACTTCAGCACAGTTCAAGGATACAATCCAGCATGGAGAGGAAGTCAAGAGAGGAGCTTGAGGCAGCTGATTACGTGGGACCCACAATCAGGAATCAGAGAGTGATGGATGCTGCTGCTGCTCAGCTCCCTCTTTCCACTTACACAGATCAGGACCATAGCGAACAGTGGTGCGGCCCACAGGGACAGGTCTTTCTTTCCCACAGGCTCACCCAGAGGCCTATTTTCTCGGTGACTTTAGACTGTCTAGTTGACAGTTAACTCTGGCCACCACATCCCTCAGAGGCCTGTTTCCCCGGTGACTCTAGGCCCTGTCAAGTTGACAGCGCCTACCATCACACTTGGAAAGGAAGGCTGGGACTGTGCATCTCTTTTTACATTACAGTAAACATCTAACCACAGAGCTACTTGATGTCTCTGCTTGTTCCAGGAAGCTGCCACTTGCCTCATAGCACTCACAGTAGTTCTTCAGGCAGCCCGAGCGCTTACAATTGCACCCTTTGCTGTGTCGCAGCTTAGCAGCTCCCAGCCGGCCTTTCCCCATTTTTGGTTGGAAAGCTTCAGGATTTCTGTCAAGACATGCCTAAGAGAGAACATGGGAACCACAAGGAGATGTACGGGAGCCAAAAGCAAGGCTCTGTGCAAGGGAAGGTCATGTAGAGGAAGCCATGGAGGGAGCTGAGGCCTCAGGACATGCCAGAGGCCTCAAGGCTTCTGTATGGCTATGCCTCACCTCACACAGAACTGAGATACAGCTGGGTTCTAGATGCACTGAACCCTTTCTCTGAATTTGATAGTCAGGCATATGTACTGTACAGAATAGTTCATGGTAAGAATGCAAAGGAAACCAGGGTGCCCTCCCCATCATGCCTCTATCTGAGGCAGGTAAGGCCACGGCAGAGTAAATAGCTCACACCAACACCCAGCCATCTATCTCAGTGATGCATGCTATCTTTCACTTCATCCTGTTGGCAAACTTGGGAGCTTTAAATTGCAGGGGTATTGGGTAGGCAGCGTGCACATGGCTCAGAACATAGGCGAGGCCAACACGACTCCTTCCATTGGAGGCGACCACTGGTCTTTCCCAACAGTGTATGGCATTCTGTAGTCGGCTAGCTGGCAGTTGCTCCATCCCACCACTGATGGGCTTGTGGCAGGTTTTGTCTATTATGAATGAAGCTGCTAGGAACTTGCTTGGCACGTCTCTGTGAGGACTTCCTCTGACTTGCATTGGCTGTGTGCTAGTGAGGAGTATGCTGGGTGGCACCTAGGCAAACATTTAGCTGTCAGAACGTCTGATAGTCATTTCCCAGAGCAGCTATATCAAGCCATGTTCCCATCCCTGGCACATGATCTCACAGTGACAGATCACACCCACTGCAAAATAAAAAGCAACAACCGACTGCCGTCGAGCTCAGGGGCATGGTCACTCTCTTTTGGCCTCTGGGTCTGACCATATCAGAATCGGTAAGATAGTTCTAAGCAATATATCTGCAACTCAAAGGGGGACTTGAATCATTCTGGGGGGAAGAGGCAGACTGACCAAGACTCAGGACCATCTATTTTTGTTTCATTGAACAGGGTGCCCTCCAACCTCAGCTGATGGCTCTTGAGCGCCCTGGAAGTGTCTCCCTGAAGAAGTTGCCAGGCCCAGTCTAGCTATCCCCCCCATTCCCTGGTCCTTGCACCCACAGGAAGGCATAGATGCAGCAGGCTCTTGCAGTCAGCCTGCAGCTGCATTGCCCCTTGAGAAAGCCTAGATCCCCTCGTACCTAAAACTAAAGGAATCAAGGTTTCAAGTCTGTGAGGCCCACCCAGTGCTTCCCATCCTCGGATGATACTGCACCCCCCCACCCACAGTGCAGAGCACTACCCATAGTTATGAACCTAGAGCCAAGACAGACCATGTGCCCTTGAGTCAGGGCCTCCCAGACTCTGCTGCTGCCCTGGGAATCACCGCAGCCCTGGTCATTGTGTCTGTCTGTGCTTCTGCCTGAATCGGACTCTGGAGACCATTCACCGGCAGCCCTGGCGATGCTCTGTCCAGTGCATTACCTTAATGGCTTTGAAGCGCTCAAGCTCGTGGCGCAGGTTGTTGCAGCTGCAGCTGTTGCAGAAGTCCCCACTGGAGAAGCAGTCACAGTACCTGTGAGGGAGAGCTCACTGAGGCCAGGCCCACACAGTTGGAGATGAGAGCAGGCATACAGGACAGGTGACTCAGTTTAGGGGTTTCCTTTGAACTTTTTACGTGAAAAGTAGACTTGGAGGCAGGGGTGTGATGTCTTGTCCTCTGACTAACACAGAGGAAAGGCACAACACTAAAGCCATTAGCTTTTGACAGCACTTTGCAAAACACCATCATTTCCTGGAAGACATGCTGTCCATCATCTCACTCCCTGCTCTCTGCTCTCCTCCACTCTCCATGGCACAGCAGAGAATGGACACAGAGCTTATTTCTACCAAGCTGTCACCAACAGCTTCTTCTGGGCAACACTGCTCCCCTCTGCCAAAGGCCCTCACCTGTCAAGTTGGCGCAGCAGCATGAGTGGGGGCAGGGAGAAACTGGGCACGGCACTCTCCTGGTCCCAGGCTCTTGCGCAACGATCATCTAGAGATCCTTGTACAAGGTACTGGTGTCCTCTGCCATCAGTCTACTCTCATTGTTGCCTGGGAAACCTCCTAGACAGCTGCCGCTTGAATGTGGTGCTCCCTTTTCATCAGTCAAGCACCAGTGAACACTGGATAGTGCGTGACAGCTGCCACCTCCGCGTCTACATTGTTCCGGGGTGGCTGATGGCAATGCGTTCTCAGTCACCCAGCCCTGGTGACTATGGAGAGGTAAAAACAGTGTTCTAGGGCATGCCCATGATGCCCCGTGCCACGTCCCCTCCACAGGCAGCAGACCTATGTGGTTGAAACTTTTTGTTGTCCAACTTGGGAAGCACAGCTCCAGAGAGAAGTGAAGACATGCTCTAGAGGAAGTTCCTCCTCATGTCAAACCACAAAGAATTCCCTCACTTTCAGTCCCCACTGATAAAATCCTTAGGCAAATTCAGCCACAGAACTCAAGGTGAGCAGATGGGCAGAAACTCAAGAAAACTACAGATAAGCTGGAGCCCCAGCCCCAGACTCCAAATGAGCCAGTGTCCTACCATATGAGAAAAGAGGGAGTGCAGGCCTGTCACTCCTACTCTCAGGAGAGAGAGGCAGGAGGATCAGGAGTTCAAGGCTAGCCTTTGCTTTTAGTAGGTTTCAGGTCATCTTGAGTTGCATTAGATCCTATCTCAAAAAACTGCCAGGTATGACACTCTAGCACCTGGAGGCAGAGGTAGGTGTATTTCTTCTAGGCCAGCATGATCTACATGGTGAGTTCCAGGACAAACAGGCTACAGAGAGACCCTGTTTCAAACCCTCCAAAACCAAACCAAAACAACAACAGCAACAGCAACAACTCCAAACCACACCAAACAAAAACCCTGCCCTGCAGACTATTTACACTAACTGTACAACTGGGTCCCATGTCAGAGTGTGCCCCACAGAGGAACATGCCTCAGCCCCGTGAGAGGCCCCTTCTTGCTCTGTGAAATGCTGGACAAAGATTATCATTGGAAGCTGGTGTGGCTGCCGGTCAACACTGCTGCCACAGACACGGGCTCCACGGCGGAGGCAGCACTAAGCGTGTTATGAAGCCAGCCACGATGAGGGCGTATTTGTAAGAAGGAACTCAGGCTTCAGTTACGGCTCATTCCTCACCCCAACCTCACATCCTACCCACTGGAGACGCTGGCTTCTCTCCCTCTCCTCACTCTCACCTTCACTTTTAGGGTTTCCAGCCCAAGAGAGGTCCACACCAAGCCAACACTCACTCAAATGGTTGCAGCCAACACTTTAGACAACACTTCCGGCCTTCAGTACTATTTCTTCAAAGAGAACTTGTTCATAACTTATGCTGGCCATTCTGTGGCCCAGGCTATCCTCAAAATTGTGGCAATCCTGCCCCAACCCCCCAAGTCCTGGGGTTAGAAGTGTGAACCAGCATACCCAGCCTCTAGCAATGCTTTCAGTTTTGCTCTGGGTTGAAGTGTAGACACTACACCCACCCAGTGCCCCGGGGTGGACCTCCTCAGCAGGAGTTCTGCAGTGAAGAGATCATGGAGGTAGTCATCAATGTCGGCCCATAAGTTCACTGCACAACTTGCCCTGACACCTCACCTGTTTCCCTGGGCTGAGCCTTCTAGGAAGGAGTTGGCATCCTGGGGACAGGATTATTTGAAGCAAGATTTCAATATGGAGTATGCCAATCGTCAGACCTTCAGAGGAAGGGTCTAAGGATACCACATCACAGAATAGCAGAGGACACTAACCAAACCGGGGCACTGAAGACAGGGCAGCTGGTGTCATACCTAAAGTCACCTGGCCAGTCACCCAGCATGGCCTTGCCTGCTGGTCTGGGGAGAATGTCAGAGCATGACTTGCCTGCTGAGTGCTAGCTATGGCTGCAGCTGGTCTACGCTGCACTGACATACACTCAAGCTTATGACCCTTAGGAAGGAAGGAGTCCATGCAGACTTTTAATTTCAGATCAGGGATTTGCTGCAGTTACCTGGCTTTTTAGAGGCCTGAGTTAAGAGTTACTCTATAAAGATGGTTGATCTGGAGGAAGAGATCCTGTATGTTTACATGTGTACACAGTAGATGAAGACCATGAGGAAGGGATACATGAAAGCAGAAGGGGCCTGCATGGGGAAGGGGGAACAGGGAGCAGTAGCAGAGAATAACAGTGTTATGATGTGCACGTTAAAATGCCGCAACAAAGCTCATTAGTTTGTAGGCTAGCTAAAAAACGAAAACATTAATAAAAAGAATGAACTCTAAAAGCTGGACAGGCAGCAGTCACTGATAGGTTCTCTAAACTTATGCAGTGTGAGACAGAAGGGGCCAGATCCAGGGAGGGTGGCTTCCCATAGCTGCCTACTGCTCACAGTCTGCCGAAGGCTCCACCCTGACCTGCTCAGGCCTCTGTTCCTCTGAACGGGATTTCCCACCAAATCTGAACACTGCAACATGGGCAGCCAAGAACACCAGACAGGGGCTGGAGAGATGGCTCGAGGGAAAGCACTCATCATCCAAGGTGCAGACCCGAATTACAACCCCAGATCCCACATAAAAAGCTGGGTGTGTGGCACATGCCTATAATCCTAGCATGGGGAAGGCAGGGGTCAATGAACCCCCGGCCTCCCTGACCTCACTGACCAGCTAGTCTAGGTGTCTTTCTTTGTTGTGTCCCACCTTTTTAAAAAAGCATTTTCTGTGTATGTGTGTGCCCCTAAGTGTAGAGTATGTGTACCCTGTGCATTCAGTACCCATGGGGACCAGGAGATGTCATCAAATCCTCTGGAACTGCAGTCACAGGCAGTTGTGATCTGATGTGGGTGCTGGGAACAGAACCCAGGTCCTCTGCAAGAGCTGCAAGTGCTCTTAACCACTTAGCTACCTCTCCAGCCTCTCCACCTTAGTTTCTGAGACAGGGTATCCTACTGGTCTAGGGCTTGCCAATCAGGCAAACTGGCTGGCCAGCAAGACCTAGACAGCCTCCTGCCCTCGCCCCCAGCGAACACCACCATGCCCAGGCATGCTGTATGGGCTCTGGGGCTGGAACTCAGATCCTCATGCTTGCACAAGACTACCAACAGCCTTCTACCCAGCCCCGGCAGTTGGTTTCTTCATGGCTGAAAGGACATCTCCATGCACACTGTGATCAGAGAGACAGGCCAGCGGGGATAAACGGAGCACAGAAAGGGTAGGGAGGGACCCGTCACCTGGGTTTGAAATTACTGGGAAAGGTTTCCATAGCTATGATGATGTCTGACTACTGTCCTAGCGGGGCCAGAAGTCCTGCCAAGACTTGGACAACCTAACCTCCGAAGGGTACCACAAATGAGCCACATCTCCTCGGATGCCAGCTACCAGCTGATCTCATCATAACTATGGGGCAGGGTTCACATCCACTACCTGGCAGGTGATCTGAGTGCTAAAGTCAGCCACATAAGACAAGTTTCAGGGGTTTCTAGTGTATGGTAACCAAAGGCGGATAAGTTAGCCAGTCATCAGCAGGCTCTGCGACTGGACCAAGCCATCCATTTGTCTGTCCTTCAGGCCCAGTGAGCTGCTCCTCTGTCCTCTAACAGCTCAGCCAAAGCTGGGACAATTGTGGGTGACACTTTCCTTCTTATCTCTCAGCTCTGTCTGACTATGAAGTCAAGAGGGCTGAGGAGCAAGTGAAGGAGAGAGGGTGAGTTGGTTCAGACTGGGAATTCCCACACTGAAGCTACCAGCCCCAAACCTTCAAGCCACTCCCACCCTCCCATCAGGAAACCTCAGGGCTGGTACAGCGGGGCAGGTCAGTACCACAGCAGAATGGTGGAGCTCACAGCTCAGGTGGATCCTGGTATATTCTCTATGACAGGGACTAATAAAGGGGGGAAAGGGGGAACTCTGCTGCAGAGAAGATTGCTCCTTGGGAAAGCGCCCCAGCTGCAGCCGTGGAGCTCACAGAGTGCCATGAGTGTAAGGCCAGCATCTGCTACCGGGTTCTGCACATGACAGAGCAGGGAGTGTTGTCTCCTGAGCACAACAAAGGTGTGGTGAGCCTTTCGTGGCCTGTGATACTCCAGGCCCCCTGAAGAGCCTTGATGCCATCAGCGGCAGCTACAAGCTGTTGAGGCCCTCTTGTTTCTTCCTCCACTGTGAACAGCCACAGTAGGGTGATCAAGAAGAGCGTCACCAATCCAGGTCCACTACCCTTACAGAGGAAAGCAGGAACCCATCCTGCTTCATTCAAGAACATTTGAGGAAACCATCAGCCAACTAGGTACAGCTGTGCTACAGCCAAAGCCTCAGGTATAGCACATGGACTTAACACTGCCCCCCCCCCCCCCCGAGGCCATCTGACCCTTCTTCTGCCTCCAGCCCCTTGTCTCAAACTTGCCAGTATCAGGACAGGAGCAGGGGGCACAGGATACACCCTGACCCAAGAGTTCCTCCCAGTGTGCTCAGGTGACTCACACAGCTCAGGTGCAGCTTACACACAGCAGTAAAATGCACAGGGTCCTGGCTAAGGGCAGCTCATGCCCACCAGAGACTATGGGACACCTGCCACAGACTGTGTGCCACGGGCACAGAGGCAGCGCTATGACCATGTCCACACAAGCAGCTGCCACTGTGTGACCTGCACTGATGACAGCCAAGAGAAAGACTCTCAGGATGCACACACAAAACAAGACAGAGCCACAGCCAGGGAACCCTGGGACACACATGGGACAGCAGCATGGAGGGGAGGCCAGGGGCCATCACTGATGGCCTCACAGGAAGCTCAGTGGTCCTTCTGGGAAGGGGAGATGAGCACTGATCTTTCAGCAAAATTAATTCCACAGTGCAGCAAGAGGTGCAGTTTATGCAGCAGCTTCTTGGATGCTTGCAGCAGAGGCAGTGGCCTCTGATTTTAATCCTTACCCAGCCAGAGCTATTTTGGGTGGCCCTTGCAGAGCGGGTCCAGAGGGGAAGGCAGTCCCATTGACAGCTGAAGGGAGAGCTCCATTATCAACCTGGATGGAGGCAAAAGCAAGATCGGTCTCCTTAGTGTGCGTGCAAAGTGCCAGCAGCAGCCCCAGCAGGTTGATGTCACATTCCACCAGGCCCCATGACCACTGCAAGTCCACTGACACTGAGCCCACAGGCTGACACCATCTTGGAGCTATTCCCAGCCCCAGGCCCAGGGCCTCAGGGTACAAATTCTTGGACTGTGGGCATGGTGGAGTCAGGGTGGAGTGGGGCCTTGGGCCAACAAAGATCAGCTAAAGAGCAGTGCACACAACTATCACTTGGGGGCTGGTGACACTGTCAGGGAACAAATTATGTCCACAAAACATTAGTTGAAAATACAGTTACGAACATCCACAACTAGAAGCATTCTCAAAGATTCATGTTCTCAGAACAAGAGACCTGAATTGAGTCTCGCTGGCAAACACTGCTCTTGTTTTCTTTTCAGGCTTTGTAGCTGGACTCCACCTCTCTGCCCACACCCTGCCTACCTTGACCAAAATCACCCCTGGCTGTCAACAAGGGTGGGCATCCTCTGTTCCCTCACTCCCTGCTCGCACATCTCTCTGATCTAGCATTTGTGCAAGCAAAAAGCCAGCAATGGGGACTTCTGGCTAATGCTGTGACGATTGTCCTTTCCCATAGACTCTCATGTCCCCACTGCTGTCTTCCATCCCAGGGTCTGACACAAATATTTTACTATTGGTTTTGATATTATTTTTAAGATTTATTACTTACAGTGTTCTGCCTGCATGTTGCCTGCAGGCTAGAAGAGGGCACCAGATCTCATTATAAATGGGTGTGAGCTACCATGGTTGCTAGGACTTGAACTCAGGACCTTTGGAAGAATAGTCAGTGCTCTTAATCTCTGCACTATCTCCCCAGCCCTTGATTTTTTTTTCTTAAGACAAGGTTCTATGTATCCCAGGCTGGTCTTAAACTTGCTGTATAGATGATGACCTTCAGCTCCTGATCTTCTCCCATCTCTGCTTCCCAACTGTTGAGATTACAGGCATGTGCCACAAGGCCTGGCTCTCACTGTTAACTGTATACCTGAGAAATAGGTGCAGCAACTGAAAGGCCAGGAGATGACATCCACTGTGGTGCTGTGCTGAATGGCTCACCTGTGTGATGAGGTTTAGCTTGGCGGGCACCGGCAGAAATCTTCCCACCAGCGTTGTCATTGGCTTAGAGAGCTCTGTAGGAAGACAACATTAACTGACAGCAAACATGGAAAGGTGTCCGTCTGCCACAGGCAAGGCTGGTTAAACTTAGCCTGACCTTAGTCCTTTTGCTTCTGAATTTTAAAAATTATGCTTATGTGTGTATTCATGAGTATATGCCATGTGTGTGCATGCCAACAGAGGCCAGAAGAAGGTGTCAGACCCCTTGGATCAAGGGGTACAGGCAGTTTGTGAGCCATGAGAAGTAGATGTTGGGAGCTGGGCCTCCAGATGTTCAGCAAGCACTCTTGGCTGCTACACCATCTCTCTGGCCTCTTGTTTTTAGGCAGAGTCTCATGAAGTCTGGAACTCACCTCAGACTTTATAGTCATGAGCTCTTGATCCCCGTCTCCATCTCCCTAGTGCCAGGGTTATAGGTATGTGCCACCACTCCTGGGGTCTGTGATTTTTCTATAGCCCCCTTTGGGTCAGTGTAACTTTCATTGCTCTGTTTTTCATCACAAAACTGCTTGGCCTGAGCATCACAGAGTTCTACCACACTGAAAAATGTTAGCACCCAGCTTCCAAAACTGTGTGTCGAGGTGCCCTTACCTGACCCAGCAATCACTGAACACCTTTGGGGCATTTTATATTTTTAATAAAAGTCTAGTGACAACTGTTGCATTCTACACCCATGACTTCCTATGTATCTGCTTGTTGCACTGCTCTAAGCTATTAGGATATCAATGCTTGCTGAGCTCTCTAGACAAAGCCACTTATATTTTGGTCCAAAGGCTCCATCAGGGAACATCCCTGAAGATCAGGTGTAATCTCCTCCTCCTCCCGGCAGTCCTCCAGGCTGCAGCTATCTCCTGCCCTGGGCCTCTGTATTCTTTCAGTGAGACGCAGACTGGAGACGCCCAATGTGTCACAAGCAACAGGAAGCAACCAGCAGCAAAGGCTGCAACGCTTCCATAAGGACACTGAACTGGAGGGCCTTCTTGGGCTCTCTAGGGGTCAGGATTTGAACCTGAGAAAACCTGCTTCCCTGCCCACTGAGCATCACAGGGGCAGCTTGGATTTGTGGGAGACAGATCTGAGAACCGCAGAATGATCAGCAGTAAAGGACCCCCAGAGGCAAGGCCTCTGTATAAGATCAAGGAGGGTGTATGGGGACAGTGTTACATTTCTTTTGTCCTGGGCTCAAAGGCTGGTTGAACTTGGCATTGGGCTGACACTGTTGGAAGGTTACCTTCCACCATAGCAGCCTGAGACCCTGTGGTTTACGCAGAGATGCTCACTGCCAAGGCTAAGGGAGGGCTTGATTAGACACAAGCCTAAGAGCACACATTTCATCTTCCTCTAAGCATGTATCAGCTCTGAAGGGTAGATCAGGCCCTTAGGGGTCATTTGTTAATTACCAGTGTGGTGAGTGACTGTCAGATATGTCACTAGAGAGCCAGCTTGGAACTCCTGAGGGTAAAGCAGAGGGACAACCCTTATTGATCACACAAGCTGTTTCCACTAAACGCCAATTATTTAGAGCACATTTAAACAACCAGGGCCTGAACCGTGAGCCATCACGTAGGCTGATGTTTCAGGCGAGGCACATCTGCCCGACTGGAGGAATGAAGCAGAGACAGGCTGATGAGAACTTGCTAGAAGGCAAGGCAGAGGAGGAAGCCAGACAAAAGCGAGGTTGATTGATGCAATGTCGGAAACTTCAGCTATGGTAGTCTATTCTGTGACATTCGCTCACTGCTTTTGCCCAGGTTTTTTCAAGCACTCATTTAATACACTCACGACCTGTTCTGTCACTGTGTCGATGCGCAAGTGGTGAGTATGTGTGGTGCTTGTGTGTGCACGCTTGCACGTGGAGGCTGGAGGATAACCTTGTGTGCTGTTCTTCAGTAGCCATTCAGCATTTTTTCTTTCTTTGAGTCAGGGTCTCTCACTGGTCCGGAACTCAGTTGCCTAGGCTGGCTGGCCATCTGCAGACAGAGCCTCCTCCCAGCCCCTCCTCTCATCCTTAGATACAAAGCCAACAGACTCACTCACTGTCCCATTCCTCACCACCTCCAGGGGGACCCAGGGCAGTTTTTGCACTGTGGTACCTGACTGTGGGAAACTGCTCTGGTCGTCATACTGAGGAAGCAGGTGGAGCGCTTTGAGCTCCCTGGCACCACAGTTGTCTATGCAGAGCATCTGGGCACCTCCTTTCAGCTGACAGATCACCTGAAATGGCATGGGGAAGAGGGCAAGTGACCCCACTTCAGAGCAGGAACACGTGGAACTCTGAGATGTTCCCCTGGGGTTCAAGTCTGGGGAGGGAGAAGGTGGCTGCGCTCTCTATGTCTTCTTGACACTAACTGCTGCTCCCTGCCCACCGTGTATTCCTGCGACGTTTCTGCACATTCACAGATTGCTCCTGTGTACTCTGAAGGACTGGGCTGTGGACAGAGATCTCTTCCTGATGCCCTTTAACCCATAGCCTGTGGACAGGGGTTGGGCTGTCTCCCGAAGCTCGGTTTCCCACCTCTGAGGCCCCTGGGGGCTGAGCACCTGTAGAAGCAACTTTAACTTGCTGTGTGTTCTGCCCTGCCACAGAGCCAGCTATCATCTAACAGGTGGTTTGTGGCTTTTTAAAGATTATTATTTATACAACATTCTGCCTACACACCAATCTTACTATAGATGGTCGTGAGCCACCAAGTGGTTCCTGGGAATTGAACTCAGGACTCTTGGAAGAACAGCGAGTGTTCTTAACCTCTGAGCCATCTCTCCAGCCCCTGGTTTTGTGGGTTTTTATGTCCACTGATTTTATTTTCTATAAATGCAATTAATAAAGGTGAATCCAGTGACTGGAAACTCCAAAGAAACCATGTTGAAGTTATGGGGCTAACACTTCCAGACATCCCCTCCCCGCCGTGGGTTCTGACTGCACATCCTCCGGAAGCCAGGTATATCTGCCCATCAGAGCCACCAATCCAGGCACTGAGGGATGGAGGGCTCTGCATGCCCAGCTGCTTCAGGGTGTGTGGAACAAAGGGCTGAGGTCATCTGAATAACACTCATGATCCTGCTAGGAGAGGAAAAGCAGGTTCCAGGGCAGATGCTCACGTCATTCTGGAACTGGCAGAGGCCAGTGTTCTGCACCGCTGCATTTGGAGGGTGATGCAGCCACCTACAGGCATGCACTAAGCTGGGAAAGGCCCAAAGTGGGGCTCCACACCCCAGGAAGAGATGGCGGATAGAGGGAGTCAGAGTAAGTCTAAGTCCAAGTAAGTCTAAGACACGGATGGGTACTAGTATTTGCACCCCAAAGACAGATTTCAGAGGGACATTATTTCAAGCATTTTGGGGCACAGTTTGTGCCTTAGACCAGGCCTCATCTGGAGCTGCTGAAGGCTCTGAGGATGTGCTGCTTGTGTATCCCGAGCTGGAGTGATGTGCTAGCGATTCCCTGACTGTCCCCAGAGCAGTTCCAGAAGCACAGCACACAAGGTGCAGGGCTAAGACAGCAGCAGAGCATGTGTTCTCTAAGACAGGCACAGAGGGGTGTTTGTGGGGCTGTGGGAGGTGGAAATGACACCACACAGGTATAGTCCCAAAATGTGGCCATTACACACCCTAAGCCACTGCCACTGGCGACCTAGGGGCAGGCAGATTGGGCCTATGTCCTGAAGCTGTAGAAGCACAGCCTTGGGCCCAAGGCCCCCAAACCCTAGAGCTGTGCCTAGACTGTCCCCACCTCAGTTCCTGACCCTCTGCTCTACATGAACAGTGTGACATATGATGACTCCCCTGTGGGACGCAGCAGCATCCCAACCCTTATTTGATTTTCTGGGGGGGGGGGGGGGGCAGAGGTGAGAACCTTGGTGGTTTAAGTTGACTTTCCCCCTTTGTGGATGGACAAGCAAAGAGCACTGACTTGGCAAATGACTGACAGCAGCAGACAGGGATCTTTGACAGACTGAGTGATGCCATTTTTATGCATAGTTACCATAGGGCTGGAGTCTTTCTTCCGGGGGCAGCTGGAGGCCTCCTCTGCCTCCTGGGATGATGAGAACTTGCAGCAGGATTCCTGCGCCAGAGGAGCTTGGAAACCTGCGTCTTCAGGGCTGCTGCCCAGCACACTGCCACCCGCTTCTTTGATTTCAACCTGGAAAAGCAGTGGTCATGTCAGAGGACACAGCGACATGTGCTGCGCTGGCAGCACACAGAACACTGAAGTCAGAGCTCCCGGTCAGCAAGGACCACCCTGGCCCCCAGCCCCGAAACCATTTTTCCCTGTGAGAAAGAAAGGAAACAAGCCAACGAAGCGGCCTCAGGATGAAGGCCTCTGAAGACAGCCATCAGTCCTGGGGTGTGAGGAGGACTGCAGTTAGGAACACACTGAGAGTCTGCATCAAAAGGAAATAGATAGGAGTGGCAAGGTGACTCGGTAGGGAGGAAGGAGCACCTGACACCAAGCCTGACAACCAGAGTTCGATCCCCAGGCACACATGGTAAAGTCAAGTCCCGTAAGTTATCCTCTGACCTTTACATGTGCTCTGTGGCACATGCACCCACACACAAGTAAATCTAATTATAAAACAAGTAAACGAGACAAAATTAAATTTACTAAGAAACAATGGGATTTAAAAGCTGAATGGTCCCAATGATTACAAAATTTACATCAGACTTGAGTGGTCCAAACCTTAGAAGACATGAAACTGCAGCTAGATTTCAAGTGATAACCTTACTGAGACATTTCAGATTTTTATGGGAATGCAGGAAAGTTACACTTTTTTCCTGCTTGCTGCCTTGGGAACTTGCCAGTAGTTATTGGAGTCTCACTGAAATGATTTCTTCCTATCCACAAACACACAATTGCTGACCTCTTCATCACCAGCAAATATCACAACGATTTGTACTACAGCCGTAATACTTTCCCAGACTGAACCTAACCACATGAAACTGTGCGAGGAGGATTCCCACAGAAAGAGCCAGGTGTGCGGGCCTAGGCCTGGGATCCTAGCCCCTTTGGAGGCAAGGAGGACCCAGAGGCAAGATCATGTACAGGTACGGAGTTCAGAGCCAGCCTGGGCTACATGAGACCCTGCCTCAAAAACAAAAACAAAAGCCTGCAAAAAGGGTGTTAGTCACTCTGAAAGGTTCCTAGAATAGAGACAGAACAATTCCATTGTTTAAGCAATAAGTATACTTATGTCCTATCTATTTTTTAAAATTAATGAATTAGGAAATAGTCTTTAAAAGCTTAAAAAAATACTTTAAAGACAGCCCATCGGTGAAGAGCACTTGTTGCTCTTGCAGAGGACCTGGGTTCAGTTTCCAGCACCCACACGGCAGCTCACGCTGTGGGCAACTCGTTTCAGTGGATCCAACACCCTCTTCTGGCCTCCATGGACACTGCACGCACACAGTGCACCTACCTGTAAACAAACACACATTTTTCTAATTTAAAAAGCAGAGTGTCTTTTTTGTCACACAATAATTTATTAAACTTGGATTACATTAAAAGAGACTCTGTCTTCAACACTGGCATATTTTCTTCCCTGTTCTACCTCCCCCCCCCCCCCCCCGCCAAAAAACAAAACAAGTTTCTCTGTGTAGCCTTGGCTGTCCTGGACTCACTTTGTAGAACAGGCTGGCTTCGATCTCACTCTGTCTCCCCGAGTGCTGAGATCACAGGGGTGTGCCACCATGCCCAGCCCATTTTACTCAGGAGGGAGTAGAGCTGGGAGCATTAGAAGGTGCTAGGCCAGCTCTTGCTGATGGTAAATGGAGCTTCTGGCATTTAGAATCACTGGAAACTCAGGAGTTGGCCTCTGCCATGGGAAAGGTCTGGACTATGAAGTCCCTGTAGGGAAGTCTAGAGAGCTGCCTTCCCTGTAAATTGAGCAGGGACGGGATTTTTGAATGTTGAGCTCCAGTAACTGTGACTTATACCACATAAACCCAGGCTCCTATCATTTCCACAGAGGTTCTAACAATATTCTACAAAGGCTTACTCTAGACCTGACATACTTGGCTGGATGAGGAACCCGGTTTTCCAAGCTGGGTTCTGGGGTTGACATGTGTGCTGGGCTTCCTTTAAAAGGGTAATTCCTGGGTGCTGGAGAAATGGCTCAGTGGTTAAGAGCACTGTCTGCTTTTCCTGAGAGATCTGGTGCCCTCTTCTGGCATGCAGGTGTACATGCAGCCAGAGCACTCATACACATAAAATAGATAAATCTTTTGTTTATTTTAAAAAGCAGATTTCTTCATTTTGACAAGAAAGCAGGGTTGGGGATGTGGCTCAGTTTGACTAGGCCCTGAGTTTGATCCCCAGCATTGTATAAACCAGGTGTGGTGGGGCACACATATAATCCCAGCACTCAGGAGACAGAGACAGGAAACCAGAGGCTCAAGGTCATACAAAGGTACTCAGTAATTTCGAGGAATAGCTGGCTGAGAAGCAGCATTCATCCCAGACTCTTACTACATAGGTTTGAAGAACCTTCCCTTATTTTACAGAGGGGTAAATCCTCGATTAATGAAATCCTCCATACAGAAGTCTTTGGTGTGAACAAGCATGTATCTAAAAAACATAAACCTCAAACTATAGGACCAGGCTAAAGACAATCTACAGAGCACGCACAATGCCCTAGGTTCCATCCCCAGCCCCGCCGGGATGGGAGGGGGGGAGGGGACGGGCGGGTCTACGGACACAATTTCCCAGGTCAGGAACGACTGATCCCCTGGTTGTGTGACGCGAAGCAGGTGTCCAATACAAACACCTACGGTGAGGGCAACAGTTATGAGCTCTCCTAGTCGTGCACAGCCACCTGCGGGGGGAGAAGTCCGGACAGGGAGGCTGCGGGGGGGTCCGGGAGAGGTCACCTAGTGCCCGTGTCACCTGGGGAGGCCCTGACTCCCCTGTGAGCACGCGCCTGGGGCCGGCCCAGGGGGTAAGCACGCGGAGACGCGGCGCGACGGCGCCCCCTGCCGGCTCTTACTGGGATCACGCGCACTCCCGCGCTCAGCGGCAGCAGCGCCGGCCCGCGAGCCCCGGGGAGCAACGACGACAGCACGTGCACGCTGTAGGCGGGCGGCGTCGCGGCGTCGTCCGGGCTGCGGAGCTCGGGCAGGCCCGGGAAGTCGCCGAGCAGGGCGGCCGGTACCTCTGCCCCCGGCGGGGGGCTGAGCGCGCGCAGCAGAGGCTCCCCCGGCTCGGTGGCGCCCAGGTAGGCGTCGGCCAGCACGGGCAACTCATCCCGCTCGGCCGCACCCGCCACGGGGCTCAGCGCCAGCCCGTCTGGAAACGCACGCTCCGGTCCGAACAGCTCGGCGCCCAGCTCGTCTTCGGGGCCCGTCATGGCGCCGAGCAGAGCGTCCTCCATGGCCGCGGGGGACCCAAGAACAGCGACACGACGCGGCCGTCCAGCTCCCCGCACCTCTGAGAGGTTGGCCCGACCGTTGACTGTTAGGAAAGGGGGCGGAGCCTGTCGCTGACTGGGTGGGGCGGGGCCTGGGCTGTGGTGGGTGGGGCCTCGGCCAAGGTGACAGGAGCCTGAGTTGTGGTGGGCGGGACCTTGCCGTGGAGGGTGGGCTCTGGACTGTGGTGGGCGGGGCCTGAGCGTGATGGGAGAGGCCTGGGCTGCGGTTGGTGGGCAGGGCTTGTTGTGCAGATTTTCTGTGTTTGGATGCGGGGCAGAAGGATGAACTCTCCAGGTATCAACCAACCACTCCTGCCCGCATAGATAAACTGAGGCTCCCAAGATGGTGGTTCTCCTTTTTTTTTTTTTTTTTTTATAACTTTTTTGAAAATATTATCCGTGAGTACTGTATTCACATCATTTCCACCCCTCCCTTTCACCCGTCTTTGTTTTTAAGTTAGGACCTCACTAGGTAGCCCTGGCTGACCTGGAAAACTCTATGTAGGCCAGGCAGGCTACAGAGATCTGCCTGCATCTGCCTCCCAAGAGCTGGGGTTAAAAGTATGACCTCTGCCACTCCAGGGTTATTTTTACCTTGCGCCCATTTCAAGTCTGGGGAGGCAAGAAGGGGGTGCCAATCCCCTGGAACTGGAGTTAACAGGTGCTGGGAAGTGAGCTTGGGTCCTCAGCCTCTGCAAACGCAGCTCTTAACCTCTGAGTCCCCTTCCAGCCTATTTATCTATTACTATTTATTTATCCGTACTGGAGATTGAATTTAGGGCCTCCTGCGTGCTAGGCAAGCACCCTGCCTCTGTTACCTTGTCTCAGCCTCCCCAGTAATTGTAACTAAAGTCCTTTGCCATCAGGCTTTCCTACCAGGTTTTGTTTTTATTTACAGTTATTGTGTGAATGGTGTGTCTACACATGCATACATACACCATGGCATGAGTTTGAAGTTAAAATTTCCCAGAGTGGACAGTTGATTATCTCCTTCCACTGTGTGGGTTCCAGGATCAGATTCTCTTTTTCTTTCTTTATTTTTTTAAAGGTAAGGTCTCCTGTAGCGCAGGCTGGCCTTGAACTTACTCTGCAATCAAGGCCGGTCTTGAACTTCTCACTTTGCTGCCTCCACCTACTGAGTGCTAGGATTATAGGTATGTACCACTATAGCCAGCTTATTTGGTGCAGGACTTGAACCCAGGGCTCCTTGCATGCTAGGCAAGCACTCTGCAGAGTGATCCACATCCCCAGTTTGGCAGCAAGAATTTCTTTGCACCCTTGCCATTCTCACACGCCTGGGAAGGGTCCCCCATAATTCTCTGGTGGCTTCTTCCGGTGAAAATGAGGAGGGCCCCGCTCAGTTACATTCTACAAAGTCTCCCATCAAATGCTAAAGTGGAGGACGAAGCTGACATCCTCCTGAGCACCAGATCGCCCTGTCATAGTGCCTCGGATCTCAACCCTTTCCTGTGTGCGCACACATGTTCCACAGCTGGAATCAGCACGTTCAGGGGCAGGCCTGGGAATCCCAGTGCATTAACTGCCAGGAGAGCATGTAAGGAGTCAGCTGCCTGCCCACCTGAGACACATACACACACATTTGGTGAAAACCAAGCCTGGAAGCTCCACGCCTCTGCTGTCTCTAGTGAGTTGGCCAAAGCTGGCCCTGGCTTGTTCTTGTTGGTCTCAGCTCCAGTTCATTCCTTTGTGCCAGCTTCCACTCCCCACATCTGCCTCTTGGGGCTCTTTTTAATTTTTTTTTAAATATTTTTTAAAGATTTAGTTTGTATGTAATCGAGTGTTTTGCCTGCATGTATGTGCACCATGTCTATGTCTTGTATTGGTGGAGGTAAGAACAGGGTGTCAGACCCCTGGGACTGGAGTTCACAGGGGGTTGTAGGGTACATGAATGCTAGGCATTGACCCCAGGTAAGAGCATTGAGTGTTTTTTTTTAAATAAGTAATGTATTTATTTTTTTAATTTTATTTATTTATTATGTATACAATGTTCTGCCTGCATGTAGACCTGCACGCTAGAAGAGGGCACCAGATATCATTATAGATGGCTGTGAACCACCATGTGGTTGCTGGGAATTGAACTCAGGACCTTTGGAAGAATAGGCAGTGCTCTTAACCTCTGAGCCACCTCTCCAGCCCCCATCAAGTGTTCTTAATTGCTGATCCATGTTCTTTGGCTTTATGAGACAGGGTTTCACTATAGAGATCAGGCTAGTCTGGAACTCACCGTGTTATCCATCACCTTCCTACCTTCACCTCCCTAGTACAAGGTCCATGCCATCACGCTCGGCCCCCACTCGAGCTGCAATGCTTGACCCTTCAGTCGGCAGTCTTGCACCAGAACCAGAGGTGGGCAGTCAGGTCTTTATTCTTAGTGCCTAGAGCAGATGCTCTGGAAAGCCTGATGAAGAACCTCAGTGATAGTCTGGAGAGATGGCTCAGCAGTTATGACATGGACAACAGGAGGACCAGAGTTCAGATGTCGGCATCCCTGAAAATGCTGGGTGTGGTTGCATACAGCCTGTAATCCTATCACTGAAGTGGGGCAGAGTCAGGACTGCTGGGGCTTGCTGGCTGCTGACACAGACAAAAAATGGGAGCCGAAGGTTCAGATCCAGACTCTGTCTGGAAGGAAGAGAATGACGGAGGGCTCCCCTCTCACCTCTGCACATTCCTGCAGAGTGGGACACAGTGTGCGTACGCCACACAGGCACACACACCCGTCACCCATTTACCAGGCCTTTACCAAGCACCTGCCATGCTGCCAGGCACTCACAGAGGGATGGGTGCCGACTGTGGCAGTGGGCAAGCTCTCAGTCAGGCACATCAAGAGTGGTGTGCCCCATACTGCAGGCTCAGAGGCCAGCACTTGTCACACATCCCCCCGATTGATAGGACAAAGGAGACAGGAACAAATGCTATAGTAGACAGGATTAATGCTTTATTAATGGTCAGCTACGTTGGCTCACACATGCGTTTCTAAGATTTATATTCAGACAGCATATGGTATTTACATGCAATGGACAGAGCAGAATCCCAAATGTAAATCTTGGCCACGGTAAGACTGTTTTGTTCCACATTAAATTAAATACGTAATAGTCTTACCACCTCCTTCCGACACATACAGTGAAAGCCCACCCTTCCGCCTTGTAAGGAATACAAAACTGCACTGGTAACTGCTCAGCAGTTACCTGGAGCAGCAAGGACAGTGGAAGCTGAGAGAGGAATGTAACGCTTGGACACCAGCAGAGCTACTTGGGGCAACACAGGTTGGTCAGTGCTCATGAACAGCGAGAGTTAGGTGGCTCTGAATTAGTTTAAATTGTTTCTGCTTTTTTTATTTAATGTGCCTTGTTTGCTTGTTTTTAATAGGAAAAAAAAAAAACTTTGGCCCTTTTAGGCATGGTTTTTTTTTTTTTTTAGATTACAAAATTCATACATGTATGTATATCCATAACACATGCATAAGCTGTTTAGCCAGCACCTCTTGGCACTTCCTGTCACCCCGCCCCTCACTTTTGTGCTACTGCTGGCACAGGGGCAGGAATCAAGCAAGGCCAGAGGGGCACTGGAAGTGGTCAGAAAAAAAATAAATACATGATTTAAAATAGGAACAGCTAAGCTTGTCAGGACAGTACAGTGACGGGCAGGGGAGGTCACGCCATTATGCTACACCAAACACCAAACAGACTTTGGTGCAGAGTTGCCTTGCAGTCCACCAGGTGCTTTCAAGAAAGGCACTCCCACTGGAGGATGGCATTTGGGTACAAAGCACCCATCATTTGAGACCCCTGAGTCTGTCGCCAAAAGGACCTAGTCTTCTGTGGAATCTGAGAGCAGGCCTCTCTGGTTGGGTAGGATTAGAAGGTAAGCCCGTTGATGTCTAGGATCTGTGTCTCCTGGCTGCCACGAGGCTGCCTGTGCCAGTGTTCCTGACTCAGTGACCAGGGCCCCACTCCCCTTGCCACCTTGTCTCCAGCTATGCGGCCTGTTCCTGCCAAGCTCCTCAGCCCCTCTGACGACACACGGCTGTCACAGTGTGGACCTGGCGGGCAATGAGACTCCAGCATCGCTGCCTTTTCCAGGGACCAAGGTGTCCTTTCTAGGGCTGGGGGAAGTATTTACCTGGGGGCATCCCTCTGCAGAAAAGCAACATCCTCACATATCCACCCAAAGACTTCACAGATGATGAGACTTCTGAACAGCCCCACTCGCAAGGGGCTCCCGTCTTTAAGGCACTGGGGTTTGAAGACACGGGAGGATGGCAATACTGAGGTGGTGTTCTGCTTCCTGGGAATGTGGAGCCAAATTTGGACTCTCAAGGGATGATGGCTGTCACTGACAGCAGAACCTTACTCCCCAGGCCCAAATATTCCATTAGTGTGTTACATGTGTGTTAGCTACAGCTGTTAACTTCCACTGGCTCCGAAGACACTTCTCTTTCCACTAGGTGACATCTGCATTGCCTGGGTGAAGCCGGGCACCTTCAAGTCCCAGGTATTCATAGGCTCACCACTGAGGAAATCTGTCACCTCCAACACCTGTGGAGCTACGACCCCAATAATCCAGCAATTCACCAGTATTTTAATCCTTTTATCCAGCAGGAGGCCTTTCAAAAGACTTCAGGGTGTGTCCAGTATTCCTGGAGCCAGGCCATCTCTGGATGCAGTGGGTCACAGTTCACACTGAGGACCCTACTGTTGTTCTAGGGAGACCGTAAACCTTCCAGAAGGAAAACTGAGATTGATAAGAGCAATTTCCTGCCTGTCCTACAGTCAGGAGTGACACCTATTCTTCATTTGGTTTGCATCACAAAAGTCTGTTTTCCTTCTGCGTGGCTCGGGAGGATTACTTTTTGGAATTCACGGTGAGGCCAAACAAGCTGATAATGTCCATCATGGCTTGTTTCAGGTGCTTCCCAAAGCGGTGTGAGTCCTGAAGGAGACAGGGCAGAACATATCAGTAGCCAGACAAATCCCAGCAACTGAAAACTCAGGCAGGAGCCTGGACTGTAGCAAGTTCAAACTCAGCCTGGGCTCTATAACAGGACTCTATCTTTAAAAGACAAATGAAAGGATCTGGGGAGATGGCTTCATGGACAAAATGCTTGTGCAATCCTGAGGACCTGAGTTTGAATCCCCAGCACCCACATAAAAGCCAAGCATGGCATTCCCCACCTATAACCCAGTGCTGGGAATGGAGGCAGAGGCAGCGAGACTTCTGGAAGCCTGCTGATCAAACAGCCTAGACCCAAACAGTGAGCTCTGGGTTCAGAGAGACCTTGTCTCCAGGGACAAAGAGAGGCAAAGAGATGCCTAGTGCCCTCTGTACCCATCCATGCACACACACCTGCAAACATACACGTGTGTGTATGTGCATGCACACACACAGAGGGACAGACAGAGAGAGAGAGCGCTAGACAGAGAAAAGGAAAATGCACTGGCATGCACAAAGTCTCACTGCTGGAGCTTGTTCACTATCATCCGCACCTGGGTTAGTCCAGCCTCCTGGCTTTCCATTCTCTAAGCTCTGAGGGGATTACCGAAGGGCGGTAACAGCACCCTGAGCATTCAGAGGGAGACGGCCACAGGTGAGCTGCTGTGTGTTTGGATGGCTCGGATCCGAGGCCTCTCTGTCATTTTCTTCTGTATCCTTGGTTATCCTTGAACTGTCAATCTTCCTGCCTCAGCTTTCTAATTAGTGCTAGGATTACAGGTGTGCACCTCATGAATGGCTTCCTGACTCACATTCTTTTTTTTTTTTATTAGTTACATTTTATTAATTCTGTATCCCAGCTGTATCTGCTCCCTCATTCCCTCCCAATCCCACCCTCCCTCTCTCATCTCCTCCCTGCCCCTTTCCAAGTCCACTGATTGGGGAGGACCCTAACTCACATTCTTGATGATGTGGGGTCTGTGTGTGTGTGTGTGTGTGTGTGTGTGTCTTGGGGCTGGCAGCCTGGAAGCTTTTATAGCATCAGCTGGAGAAGCTGCAGAGGCCAATATCAAACAGGTTCCCAGGAGGCTCCCTCAGATAGCTCCCATGTGAGGGGAGAACTTGCTCAGAGTGTTGTTGAGAACAGAGAGAATGACAGAAACACACACAGACATGTATACCAAGACTTAAGACCACTGCTACCAGCAAAGGTAGGTACATGAAATAAATATATGCCTTTCAAGTGAGTGAAATTCATCCATGCGAAACTAATCTAAATAATGTTGACATCTGAATTGGACATTTCTGTTAAAGATGTGCCTCCCCCCACCAAAAAAAAAAAAAGCCCTTATCCATCTCTAGAAAAAGTATTCCCCAATATACTCACTGT